TAGACCAGGCTGACCTTGATCTCATGAGATCTGCCTGAATCTGTCTCTTGAATGCTGGGAATTAAAAGTGTGAGCCACCATCCTCAGCTTTTCAGTTATTTTTATACATGCTGTGAGGTAATCATCCAACTTTATGTGAAAGGCAATAACATTCTGTTACTATTGATCTGCTCAGCTTCTGCCACAAATAGATTCACCTGAAACCAAACCTTCATTAGCATGCTTGTGTGTGTGTGTGTGTGTGTGTGTGTGTGTGTGTGTGTATGTATGTAAAGGACGTCAGTAGACAACTTTTAGGGGTTGGTTGCTTCTGTTGATATGTGATGTATTCCAGACTAGATGATTCTCCTGACTATGCCTCCCATCTCAAAGTACATATACTGGGATTACAGATGTGTGCCACCTCCCTGGCTTATTAGATTGGGTTCCAGGGGTCAAACTCAGATTGTCAGACTTGTGCAGCAAGTCTTTTTACTTGCTGAGCCATCACCCCAACCAAATTTTGGTAAACTTTTAATAAAACTTTCTTCTAAGCTACCTGTGCCCCATGCATTTTCTCTTTTTTTGTGGGTTACTTAAAAAGAAATCAGTTATTTACTTATTCATTTTCTTTAGAACTGTAGGTCTTTATATATGTATGTATATAATTTTTATTTCATGTGTATGAGTATATTGCCTGTGTGTAAGTGCACTTGTGTTGTGCAGTGCCTGCAGAGGTCAGAACAGGGCATCGGATTCTCCTGGAACTGGAGTTATGGATGGTTGTTAGCCACTGTGTTGTTCTGGGAATCTAAACTAGGTGCTCTGCAAGAGCAGCCAGTGCTCTTAGCCACTGAGCCATTTCTCCTGTATCTAAATCAGTTTTTTGTAAGAAGTTGTTTGTCTTTAGTGTATACTCACTGACTAAATGACCTTTTTCTTCCCATTACTGGCTTTTATTTGTTGTTTCTTGATCAGTCTTTTCAGAGAATTATTAATTTTAGTGCCTTTTCTAAAAACCAACTTAAAATGTGTGTGTGTGTGTGTGTGTGTGTGTGTGTGTGTGTGTGTATATGTGCGTGTGTAGGTTTGCTAGTCCCCAAACTAACTTTTGATCTTGTTTATTTTTCCCCTTGTTTTCTAATTCATTCTTTTTTCTTTTTCTTTTTAAATGTATTTTTATTGAATTTTTGTGTATTTCATACAAAACATCTCAAACAATCTTAATCATCTTTATACCCTGCCCCCACTAGCACCCTCCCATAGCTCCCCCCACCCCCACTGGAATCCATATACTCTGTCACCCGTGTTTAAGGCCTACTGTGTCAAGTCACTGTCCCCGGATGTTACCTAGTTCAAGTCCATCCACTGAGGTCTAGTCAGCCTATCTAGAGTCCCTTGTTTTAGGAAGATCAGTTTTTCCTCACCTAGCAGTAATCAGTTGCCAATACTGCTTCAGCTAAGATTGGGGTCTACAGTACTTTTTTCAACTTGATTTGGATTTTCTTTGTTTCCTATTTTTTATGTTTAGTTTTGATTTTTTTTTAAAATAACTTTTTAAGTCTTGCAATTTCCTTCCAAGTACTGTTTGGTTGTAGCTCACAATTTTTTTCTATATAGCTTAAATTCTAAATTCTTAAAATTTTCCCATTATGATTTTTAACAACCTTTGACTCAACAGTATGTAAAAATGCTTACATGTCTGTAGTTTTGTTTAAGTTGGTTTCTAGTTTTATTTGCTGTGTGACAAGTGATTATAGTCCATGTTTTGGTTCTTCCAGTGGTTGTTAAAATTCACTTTGCTTTCTAATATTTAGCTTTTTAAATTTAAAATTAATTAATTTTCGGTGTTTTGAGACAAGGTCTCCCTCTACCTCTCCCCAGCTGGTCTGGAACTAGCTATGTAGACCAGGCTAGCGTTGATCTCATAGAGATCCACCTGCCTCTGCCTCCTGAGTGCTGGGATTAAAGGCATGTGCCACTACACTTGGCTAAAATTCAAATTTTAAATCACTTCTTGTCTTTGTGCTTTGAGATAGCTCTTTCATTGAACTGGAAGTCTGCTGTTTTGGCCAGGCTAGGACTCACTAGGGAGCTCTTGGTATTTACCTTTCTCCATCCCCACAGTGGGGTTATAGGCATGTGCAGCCTTGCCTGATTTTTTTGCCTGGGTGCTGGGTATTCAGACTTTAGTATGTGATTTCAGGCTCACATTACCACAGAGGTTAGAGGACAGCTCTCGGGAGTCAGTTATCTCCTCTTACCTTGTGGGCTCTGGGCACTGAACTCAGGTGTTATGCCTGTGAGCAAGTGCCTCAACTCATTGAACAATCTTGCTCCCCCCACATCCCCTTTTTTTGAGACAAGGTTTTATGTAGCTTAGGTTGGATTCAAACTAACCATATAGCTGAGGATGAATTTGAACTTCTGATCCTCATGCCTCCATCTCCTGAGTGCTGGTGTCAAAAGTGTGTTCCACCATGCTTGGTTTTATGTGGTGCTAAGAATGGAGCTGAGGGCATCTTGCATTATTTAGCAAATTTTTATAAATGTTGTAAGTGCACTTTGTATAAATGTATTAAGTGTACCCAGTTGTGTGTTATTTCCTTGTCCTTACATCAGGCTCCTTGGTAGTGTTGCTAAAACTCTTTTATTTTTATTTTTTAATTTTATTAATTAATTTTATGTGTATGAGTGTATTGCCTACATATATGTAAGTGTACCTGTGTTGTGCAATGCCCATCAGAAGAGGGTGTCACATCCCCTGGAACTGGAATTACAGATGGCTGTTAGCCGCCATGTGGGTGCTGGGAATCAAACCTAGGTCCTCTGTAAGAGCAGCCAGTGCTCTTAACTAGTGAGTTATCTCTCCAGCCCCAGCTAAAACTCTTAACACTTTTTTTTCTTGTGCCCTCAGGAGATACATGTTAATATCCTGAGCAACAGTTTGAATTTGTCAGATTCTCTATGTAATTCTTTCCAATTCTGCCTCTTGTGCTTTGATCATGTAATTATTTGCAGGTCAGGTTGTACTTACTATCTTCTTGGGAATCTCATGTTCTTTCTATTTGAGAAGATATGGATAAACTTATTTTTGGGTTATTCTCATTTAGATTAAAAACTTTGCAGGATTTCAGCATTAGAGATCCCAGTTCTGTCTTTGGGCCTTGGGTGAGCCTAACACTTTGTGCTCTATCTACTCAAAGACTTTATTTTTTTAAAATTAATTTATTTTGAGAGAGAGAGAGAGTAAAGAGTAATATTCATTGTGTAAAGAATAACTATCTGACATTTTTTGATTACCCAGTTCTGTCTTTGGGCCTTGGGTGAGCCTAACACTTTGTGCTCTATCTACTCAAAGACTTTATTTTTTTAAAATTAATTTATTTTGAGAGAGAGAGAGAGTAAAGAGTAATATTCATTGTGTAAAGAATAACCCAAAAATAAGTTT